AACCTGTGGAGTCATGGGATATCCTATTTTGATGCCTTATTTACCTTTTGTTGCAAAGTACCTTCTGGGAGGAGTTTAGAATATATATTTGATCTTACAAAAGATGTTCAATTTTTTTATAAAAAATGTTTTAATTAGTACTAATAAAGGAAAAGGTAATTTTAAATGTAAATCAACATTTCTGCCTTATAATAACTGCATAGTTCTTGCTCTTGGAAGAGATGTCTTCATAAGTGGGCTTTTTTAGTCCTTTATTCTGTTTAGGGACATTGCAGGTTTTTAGATCTGGCTTCTGTTCCAGTGGAGGTGGTGACCCTCTTCTAGTGGTAATTGTAGGTCCATATCTTCCTGAAACTTGCATAATACAGGTCAAGTTCCAGACAAATGGCACATGAATTAGCCTGTGAATATTTTTTTTAATAGAATAGAATTACAGAGTTGGAAGGGACCTTGGAGGTCTTCGAGTCCAACTCCTTGCTTAGGCAAGAAACCCTACATCACTTCAGACAAATGGTTATCCAACATCTTCTTAAAAACTCCCAGTATTGAAGCATTCACAATTTCTGGAGGCAAGTTGTTCCACTGATTAATTGTACTAACTGTCAGGAAATTTCTCCTTAGTTCTAAGTTGCTTCTCTTCTTGATTAGTTTCAACCCATTGCTTCTTGTCCTGCCTTCAGGCGCTTTGGAGAATTTGCACCAGCTAACCTTAAATCAATCATGACAATACTGCAGACACTGATTTTTTGTTGTTGCAATATTTGCCAAATGTCCAGTATGATCAAAACTATACCGCAAATGTTTTATGAACATGAAAAAGGGAACAGTGAATGATAGGAATCACAGCTTCTAGTCATTTTATTATTTTTATAAAAGAATTAAGTGTGTTCAAACGTTGTACCTGATATGATTTAAACCAGCAGAACATATTTATGAGACATCTGCAAGGCAGTAATGAAGTCTTGTATAAAAGTCAGTGTTGTAATCCATAAAGTGGACATTTAGGATAAAGAATTGCAGGCCTTCTAATAAAATATAGGAAAAGAATATGGAACAAAAATGAGTGCTTTACAAGTGACATGAGTTGTTCAATAATGCCTACATATATTCAAGTTCATTTTCTTAATACCTTAGGATACTCAGTGTTCATTGATAAATAAGTTTTTTGTTTGTAACATTTCAGATGCCGCATGCAAGATAAATCCTTATCCTGAGGTGGCGCAGTGGTTAAATGCAGCACTGCAGGCTACTTCAGCTGACTGCAGTTCTGCAGTTCGGCTGTTCAAATCTCACTGGCTCAGGGTTGACTCAGCCTTCCATCCTTCCGAGGTGGGTAAAATGAGGACCCGGATTGTTGTTGGGGGCAATATGCTGACTCTGTAAACCGCTTAGAGAGGGCTGAAAGCCCTATGAAGCGGTATATAAATCTAACTGCTATTGCTATCCTATGATTTCATTGCCTTAGTTTACTACCATGGGAACTACTGGAAACTATACAATTGAAACAGCAAAAGCTCTCTCAACCACCCAAAGCAGAAGGGCTAATGTATCACACAGTGCCCCAAATTTACCATCTAAAGAGGATGACCCATAACCTCATTAAATGCAGGGTCTAAAACTGTTTGCATGCACAATTGCTTTACTGGTAAGCTCCTGATTGAGAGATCATGAGAATCTTATAAACTTAGAGTTTTTCTCGGAAGAACATAGAAAATACTGGATTTTGCTGCCTGCAGAAGTGCCAGCTTTGAAAGAGATAGCTAGCTGGCAATGTTTTCCCATTCATTTTCTGCTACTCCATTTTTCCAAATGGTTGGCAAGCACTATTCCTTTCTATCTTCTTTAGCACTAGCTTTTTAACTTACCATTCTCAGTTCTTCCATCCTACCCTTGCTCAATGGACAAGGACATAAGGTTGACATTGACAATTAGACAATCAGAGCTAAAAGTGGTCTTAATGGTCATTCCTTTCCTTATGTTACAACCTTTCCAATGTAAATCAGCACATATCATTTTTCTACTCTAGGTCAAATATGCCTTGTTCCTTTAACATTTCTTTATAGGCTTACTTTCCAGAGTCTTCACCATCTTGGAAGCTCTCCTCTGACCTTTCTCCAATTTGTCACTCTCCTTTTGAACTGTGCAAAAGAAAAAGATTTATACAATCTGAAGAGAAACCAGAGTATTAATGCAAAAGAGGAAGAAATGGGGAGAAGAGGTGTTCCAGTGATGAAAGTTGACTGCAAACCATAACATCAGACCAGGACTGGTTTAAAAGAATAACAGCTATTGTGGGTCCTTCAAAATTTGGAGCCAAACAAAACATTGAATATGAAAACCCAAATTGGGTGTGGAAAAGTGAACTAGGGCCATGGAAGTGAAGAAGTTAAAGCTGCCTGCCTTTGTCATTCCATCCTCAAGAGAGCATTGTCGATTGTCAATTCAGACACTCACAGAGCCACCAAGTACCACTGTGTGCAAGATGCTAAGAAACGATATTCGCTGAATTGAAATACTACTCAGCAGAAGTGATACTGACAGATCCTTTTAATTACCCACAGATTGACCCGGGATTCCTTGAGAATTTATAGTAGTAGTAGATTGGTGCATCAGAATCAGAGAGAAGCAATATTGGAATTTTCAGTGGCACTTACTCTTCAGTATCTCCAAACACAGTGATCACAGAGGCAGCATGATGTTCTATAGATAGAGTCAGTGTTAAGGATTTAGAATAATTCTTCTTTGTTACTTTTTGTCTGTGCAGACGCTTCCTTCTGATTGGCAGACATGTAAGGAGCATGGAGCACTTGTTCTTTTATTCTCATGGTATGATATAGTCCTAGTCTTTGTTTATCCTATTATATATTTCCTAAAACCAGTTCTCTTCTCATATAGTTATAAAGTGTGTGTCATTACTTAATTAAATTAAATTAAATTAAATTAATTAATTAATTAATTAAATAGCTTAAAGTCACACTTGCAGGATTGCTCATACAGACATCTGTTGTGGTGATGAAGAAAAGACACGCAGGCAGGAAGAAGGTTGTGAAGGCACTCTCAACAGCTTGTGACAGCTCTCCTTTTATTCTCATAAAACAGTTTACGTGACAGAAACTGGAAGAAGTTAATTGATCAAAGTTCACTTGTGCTGATTGGATTAGCTAGACAAAAATCCAAGCTATGTTTGAGTAAGTGAATAGACAACCAGATGTTGTTGNTAAATTGTAAAGATACAAGCAACATGGTTATAGTCATAAGTGTGGAGAGATAGATGCTAGGAAGGAAGAGAGGAATAATAGTAAGCCTTAGTGAATAGTTTCACAGCGTTGTGGGAATTTGTTGCTTAGCAGAGTGATGGCATTTCGGAAAAAAACTGTCCTTGTGTCTAGTTGTTCTGGTGTGCAGAGCCCTATTACGTCGTTTTGAGAGTAGAAGTTGAAAATTTTATGTCTAGGATGTTATTAGGCATCTTCAAATGTGATTTGATGTACTCTGGTACAATTCCAAATTATTCTGGTAAACCTTGCTTGGGAAAGGAAATAGTAACCATCAGCCAATAGTTCTTGGGCGCTATCCAAGACAATGACAGTGAAACAGACTTGTTTCACATCCCCCTCCTCCAATTAAACCCCCCTTTTGAGACCTATCAGCTCAGCATTATTATGTAGACCAGAATTAAAAAGCTAAGGGCCAAATACAGAGGTATTTCTTTAGAAAATGCAAGCAAATAGATGTTGCAATCCATTTCGTGCAGTGCTTTTCAATCTTGGTGAGTTTAATCCAGGGGTGAAATCCAGCAGGTTCTGACAGGTTCTGGAGAACCAGCAGCAGAAGTTTTGAGTAGTTCGGAGAACTGGAAAATGCCACCTCTGGATGGCCCCAGAGTGGGGAGAGAATGGAGATTTTGCAGTATCCTTCCCTTGCCATACCCGCCATGCCATGCCCACCAAGCCACGCTCACAGAACCGGTAGCAAAAAAAATTGCATTTCACCACGGATTTAATTCCTCCCCCTCCGCAAGGGAATTCTGGGAGTTGAAGTCCACACTTCTCAAAGTTGCCCAGGTTGAGAAACACAAGATCTAGTGCAGGTTGGCTGTGCCTTCATCCTCTGAGGAAAGCAGGGATGTATAAATGAAAGACGACTCCTGTTAATAAAACTAAGATGCAGGCGGATCCTCTGTGTATGGCGATTCGTTTAGTGACCGTTCAAAGTTATAACGGCATTGAAAAAAAGGGATTTATGACTGCTTTTCACGCTTATGACTGTGGGAAGAAATGTCCACATCGGTTCAGTTCCAAGTGGGGAGAAAGACACTGGAAACATGGAGACTGATTGCAAAGATGGTTTAATGGTGGTCAGGACCACATGGCTTGAGGTCCTGGGGAAAAAGGTGCATCTTATACTCCGAAAAATAGGGTAAATTTATACAGAGTGGGTAGGCTTTTTTTTAATAGTAGGGCCATTAGAGTTGATGGCCCCTCTGGGTGGCATTGGAGGATCTGAAAATGACGCAGGGTTTGATGTCTTGGGGGGGAAAGGTGATCACATGCTTATAGATGTTGGGTGAAGAAGAGAAAAGAGAGAGAGAGAGAGATGCTGAAAGTCCCTGGTTTTATGCCCTCTCTGGCCTTTGATCTCGGGCTTGTATTCCGATTGGTTGTCAGATTCCCCTGGGGCCATGCAGGGGCAACTCTCTAGGCTGTGTTTTGGTTGAGCATTGCTTCTTCCCAGGTGGTGAGATGGGTGGAAGGCTACTCCTACCTTCGTTATGTAGAGCAGACTGGCCCAGGCCCCTAATGGCCCAGAGACAAAGGGGGGGTGGGTGGCTGAGTTTCTGCCTCTCTTTGAGTTTCTACTTCTCTTCTTAGGGGAAATATTCTGCCTTTCTAATATTTCCTAGGACATTTCATTCTTCTAGGAGAGGGGTGGGTGCTAACTTCCTATATATGTTTACAGAACGGGCTGTTTTATTTCTCTTATCCCCCGCCCCCCATTAGTATTGCACCTTGACTATTCTGGACGACGCACAGTCCCCGGTGATTGAAGGGGTGGAGACCTTTGTGGTCTATTTGAGTTCCCCACAAGGAGCAGAGCTGGCCAGTCCTTTCCAAGCAGTGGTGGCCATTAATGACACCTTCCAGGATGGTAAGTACATGAGCAAGTCCCAAACGAATGCCAGTGGAAAACTCTGAGACACCTAGTTCACCTGGTTACGCTTAACGAGCTGATAACCCGGCACTGCCCGGGCATTTATTTATCCCAACCCTCCTTTCATGAACATCGCCACAATTACTAATGTCGGATTTTCCCCCTTACCACTGGGAGCTCCCTTGTGGAGTACTGTGAAGCCGTTACCATGGCAATTCCATTGTGCTGTACAGTAGAAGCCATTTTAAGGCAGTACAGTAGAAGCCGTTTAAGGCAGTGCGGTAGAAGCTGTTTTAAGGCAGTACAGTAGAAGCCGTTTTAAGGCAGTACTGTAGAAGCCGTTTTAAGGAAGTACGGTAGAAGCTGTTTTAAGGCACAACAGGCTGTATCTTAACAGAACACTTAGCCTGAGGGGTCTTAGGGCTGTCTTACCCCCAACAGCATATCCTCCTCCTTCCCCTCCATCATCTCCTCCTTCTTTCTCCTCCTCCCCCTTTCTCTTTACCCTTCTCCCCCTTTCTACTTGTCTCCTTCCTCCACCCCCTTTACAGTTCCAAGCATGAAGTTCAGTAAAGATGTCTACTCCGTGAAAGAGAAGGACCGCCTCCTACATGTTCCCGTTATCCGTACCGGAGACTTAAGCTACGAATCTTCAGTCAGGTGCCATACACAGAGCCAGACCGCAAGAGTGATGGAGGATTTTGAGGAAAGGAGAAACGCTGAAGAATCGCGCATCACATTTTTGAAAGGGGAGAAGGTGAGTGAGTACAGGGACTTCACATGACGGAGAGAGAGAGAGAGAGAGAGAGAGAGAGAGAAATCCATCAACTCAACACCCCCCTGGCCCCGTTTCAAAACCACGGCAATCTGTCAGGTCGCACTTGTGGCGAGGAAAATACATATTTTTTTCCTTCCTGGACGAAGAAACATACGAAATGGAAAGGCTGCCAGAACATGGGTTATGACTCAACTGAAACGCATTTCATTTTCTTGCTCTAAGAAGGATGGACTGGGGGGGCTGAGGCACAATTTGTGAAGGTATGCAGGGTTGTGTCATATACATTGGCAGAGCTGGGGGTTACTTCTCTTGTGGAGGGAATAGTTTGAGCCCGGAGGGGTGGGCTGTTGGGGGATCGCAGGGGTTCGGGAGAACTTGTAGCTAAGATTCTGTGCAGTTTGGAGAACTCCCAAATCCCACTCCTGGCTGGCCCCGCCCACCCCGCCCCTCCCAGGAGTTCCCACCCGGCCCATTCTGGATGCAGGTAAGTGCAGAGACTCAGGGAGGGGGTAAAGCGGGCCTGCCGGAAGTTCGGGCCCGTTTCCAGCCTCCAGAGGGCCTCCGGAGCCTGGAGAGGCTGTTTTCACCCTCCCGGAGGCTCAAGGAAAGCCTCCGGAGCCAGGGGAGGGGAAAAATACACATACACACCCCGGCAGTGGTGCAGGAGGCTAACTAGGCCATGCCCACCATGGCCACGCGCACCCAGCAACTGGGCAGAGAATCATAAGATACAACACTTATTTACAGTCATGGGATAATAACTAAGCAATCAGGAAACAATCAATATCAATATAAATCGTAAGGATACAAGCAATAAAGTTTGTATCTAAGTCTTGCTTTATAAATTAATGAACTCTGCAGCTTGCCTCCCAATCCTTTCTGTGATATCCTTGATTTTAGGTAAAGAACTGCACTATAATTATAAACGATGACTCTGCCTTTGAGCCGGAGGAGAGATTCCGGGTATATCTGAGTGAACCCCAAGGCAACCACTGGAGTGGGGCTACCGTTGGGAAAAGCAACATGGCTACTGTAGTTATCTCCAACGACGAAGATGGTAAGAAGGATGGGCTTGTATTCAGATATGTATTCATTTATTGCAATCGGCTGATTATTATGAGCCGAGGTGGTGCAGTGGTTAGAGTGCAGTAGTGCAGGCTACTTCTGCTGACTGCTAGCTGCAGTTCAGCAGTTTGAATCTCACCAGGCTCAAGGTTGACTCAGCCTTCCATCCTTCTGAGGTGGGTAAAATGCGGACCCAGATTGTTGGGGGCAAGAGGCTGATTCTGTAAACCATTTAGAGAGGGTTGTAAAAGCACTGTGAAGCGGTATATAAATCTAGTGCTATTGCTATTGCTGTTATCTGTAGTTACTTAGAGCCATGGTGGTGCAGTGGTTAGATTGCAGTATTGTAGGCTAATTCTGCCAACTACCAGCAGTTCAATCCTTGACTGGCTCAAGGTTGACTCAACCTTCCCTCCTTCCGAGGTGGGTCAAATGAGGGCCCAGATTGTTGGGGGCCAAAGGCTGACTCTCTAAACCGCTTAGAGAGGGCTGTAAAGCACTGTAAAGTGGTATATAAGTCTAAGTGCTATTGCTGCTTGGGCACAATGATGCAAATTTTCTTGAGAGCAGTACAGACGTTATTTGTTTTTGGGAATGTTTTTCAATTCTGCACATTGGCCTACATGAAACATCAAGTCCCAATGGTGCAGACATGACTTCCTTCCTTATGTTCTAGTAGAATTGGAATTGGAATTGGATTCTTTATTGGCCAAGTGTGATTATACACTTGGTGCATAAGCTCTGAGTGTACACACAACAATAGTGATAGAATAGTGATGGTGCACAGGAAGATGAGCACAGGAAGATGAGCTGAAAAACACACAGATCAGTCCAGACCGTCACTTACACTATATTGCCAAAAGTATTCACTCACCTGCCTTTACTCGCATATGAACTTACTGTACGTGGCATCCCATTCCTAATCCATAGGGTTCAATATGGCATCAGTCCACCCTTTGCAGCTATAACAGCTTCAACTCTTCTGGGAAGGCTGTCCACAAGGTTCAGGAGTGTGTTTATGGGGATTTTTGATCATTCTTCCAGAAGGTCACACACTGATGTTGAATGAGTTTACGTGGCCTACCACTTCGTGGCTGAGCTGCTGTCGTTCCCAAACACTTCCACGTTCTCATAATACAGCTGACAGTTGAACTGTGGGATATTTAGGAGCGAGGAAATTTCACGACTGGATTTGTTGCACAGGTGGCATCCTATCACAGTTCCACGCTGGGATTCACTGAGTTCCTGAGAGCGACCCCTTCTTTCACAAATGTCTGTAAAAACAGCCTGCATGCCTAGGTACTTGATTTTGTACACCTGTGGCCACAGAAGTGATGGGAACAAATGATTCTGATTATTTGGCTGGGTGAGCGAATATTGTTGGCAATATAGTGTATCTGAAATAGCATCTCCTGCTTGAGCAGGGGGCTGGACTACAAGACCTCCAAGGTCCCTTCCAGTTCGTTCATTCCTTCACTCATTCAAATTCCATAACTGAATAGATTGTTGTTAACGTTACCTAAGGAACACTGTTTTTTCCTCCTATCTTGAATCTCTTGTCACTCTGTACCACTGCTCAGCTAACTTTCTCCATACCTGTGCTAGTCTTTGTCGTGCCTGTGCTTTGCTGTTTTATTTTTTAAAACGTCTCCGGTAATCTTGAGCCTTGAGCCACTCTTGAGTAAAATAATAATAATAATCGGGAAAAGGATCAATCAATAAACTTGTCCTTAGTTGGCAGAGTCTGTTAAATTTTAGCCGAGAGTCTTTCAAAGGTTTCTGGTGAAGCAAATAGTCTCAGAAGTTTAGGATGGTGCTTCGTTTCTTGGCCTTGATAATTGGCACAAAAAAGAAAAGAAAAGAAATCTGAGTTATTACAGATATCGTCTTGTTGTTGGACCGCAAGATGAGTTAAACTAGTTAAACTTTGTGGACCGGCGGTGGCCGGTGGGGAGAGGGGATGGTTCTGCACACACAGCGCTTGGGTGTGCAAGCACGTGCAGCTCCCCTTGGGCAGACAGCATGCAAGTGTGTCCCCGCCCTCGCGCAAGTGGAGCTGCACACATTTGCACGCTGCTTGTGCGGCCTGGTTTCAAACGGGCCACAGTCCGTGGATGAGGGACTCTTGAGTTAAAATGTTCTTGCTGTCTGAAACCTGATCCAAGGCCCCTTTTTTTCCCCATCGGCTTCCTCCGTCATTCACAGCTCCCACCATTGAGTTTGAAGAAGCTGGGTACCAGGTCCGTGAACCCCCTGGACCGGAAGGCGTTGGCTTCTTAAATGTCAAAGTGATCCGGACAGGAGACCAAAACAGGACTTCGAAAGTTCGCTGCAGCACCCGGGATGGCTCAGCTCAGTCTGGAATTGATTATTACCCAAAGAGCCGAATTCTCAAGTTTAGCCCTGGTAAATATATCTTCTATATATATAAAAATGGCTGGTTCTGTGTGTATTTGTCTGTGTGTGTGTGTGTGTGTGTGTGTGTGTGTGTGTGTGTGTGTGTGTGTGTGTTCCAACATAACTCTGGAACGCCTCAACCAAACTTGGTACA